CTCTATAGACGCATTTGCTTGGTCACATTGTTGATTTTTTAAAATTTTTCTTATAACGTGAAAATTAATACTTTGGATCTCCAGAACGGTAGCAGTTCTTATTCTTAATCTTAGACTTAGATTTACTTTTTCATTTGCCCAATATTCTTTTGATTTCTATAAATTATCAGGTTTGTATTATGTCCCTAACTAACAAGATTTTACCGTGTACTTGTTTATCTTTTTATATTAATCTGCAAATATAATTCCTTACTATTTAATTTATTATAATTGTTTAAGAAGTTATACTATATCTATCATACTTAGAGGGTGTTTGACAAATAACTTTTTTTAAGAGTTTTTAGTTTATTGAATAGCTTTTAGCTGGTTCACCAGTCAAACAACTAATTTAGGTGTTTGATAAATTAGCTTTTTTTGGAATAGCTTTTTGGACCAAAAAGCTAATTTATGAAAAGCTAACTTACTCAATGTTTTGAAATAGCTCTTTCAATTTATATTTTTTTATTCCTTATATGCCCTTAAAAATTTATTATACGTTTTATACAAATAAATATATTTTAATTATTTATTAATTATATTAAAATATTTTATTATATTATAGTTTTACTTTTATAAATTTAAAATAATTCATTTATAGATATATGTATATTATTTTAATTGTAAAATATATAAATTTATTAATATCAATATAAAATAGAAAATATAAATATAAATAATTAATTTTTATATTAAAATTACATTATATAAATTTTATATTAAAAATAAATTAAATTTATTGAAAATTATAAATATAATGAACTAATCGATAATCAACATAATAAATATATACACGAAAAATTTATTATTTTATATTTTACATAATTTTCAATAAAAAAAACTATTTATATTTTTCAATAAAAATATATTATTTTTTAAATCTAATTATAATAAAAATAAATATTATTTTATAACACTTTTACAATTTTCAGTAACTAATAAAAAAAATTCAAAACATTCTAAACTCAAAAGAACACAATTGAATATATTAGAAAAAAATAAAATAAAAATGTCATCGATTGTATAAATATCTAATATCAAACAGTTATTTTGCCAAACATTTTAATACAAACAGCTAATCGAATCAGCAAGTCAAGCCAGCTACTTGAATCAGCTAACAACTATCAACTAATTGCCAAACACGACTTTAATAGCATATTTGACAAAGACTTTTCAATGTAAATTTCTTTTAATATTTTCCAAAGTTCTTTTGCAGATCATATTTTTCCTACTTTTTTTATTTATAGAGTTAGATAAGTTCAAAATAATCAAAAAAAATAAAAAATAAAAAATAAATAAATAAATAAATAAACACACTCATGTATTTTAATTTTTCTTTCATTAGTTATTGAAAGAATTGTAAGTACCATCAATAGTTTTTGAAAATTTTTTGACCTACTAAAATTTCTTTCATCTCTTATTCCCAAATTGAAAAATTAATTAATTTTTTTTTTTATCAAAATATGCAATATACAAATATCATACATGTCACACAAATGACTCAATTACCACATTAAGCCAATCACATATATTCACTAAAAATCAGTTATCAAATACTTATTCGCTCTTAGAGCAACCAATTATGTAACAGTAGTGTCAACCAATTCAATAATAATTGAAAACTAAGATTTAGTCACAATGAGTAAATTGTATAATTAATCATAAAGATTCAACCAATGATATATATATTTTTTATTAATTATTATAATATATTGTATTATTTTACTAACATATTATTCTCTCCATTCTCCTTAATTTGTCCACTATTTCTATTTCTGTTCGTTCCACATAATTTGTTCTTTCATTTTTTGGAAATAAAATTATACACTTTAATCACATTTTAAACTTTATAATTTATATTTTTTTATTTTAATTAAACTATTTAGTCATCTTAATCTAAAATTATTTTTATTAAATTATAATTATTTTCATTAATACATTTTTTAATTATTCACTGATTACACAATATTTAAAACTTCGTGCCTAAGTTAAATGGGAAAAATTAGTTAGGATGGAGGGAGCATTATATTTAGGTGACTTTATGCAAATGTTATTTACTTATTAGAAATAACATTGGATAGGTTATATAGATCATGTCAATGAAATAATAATTTAAAATTTTTACAAAAATTGAGATTAACATTTCACATTTTTTTTATACATTTTTTCCCTTTTAGGTAAAATATTATAATTGTTTACAATAAGTTTTATAAAATATAATAAAATTTTATTTTAATCTTATAGCTTTTATTTTTGGTGTCTAATGTGTATAGATAATTTTAAGTATATATTTTTATAGTTAATATGATCCATTCTTTTTTTTTTTTTGTGAATTTTTGTAGGTAGATTATTAACATTAAACTTATAATTAAGGAATAATTTGTTTTTATATATTTTTAATTAAAGATATTTATATATAAATATTTTTTTATTTATTTTAAATATTTATTAAATTAAATAAAAATAATATAAGAATTAATAATTATATTCAATCCGTGCTATGCATGAGTTTAAACGCTATTAAAGTACTCCCTTCGTCTCGGATATTTTCTCCGTTTTACTATAGATATGGGAATTTAGAAAGAATATAATTAGTAAATAATTAAAAATATATTAGTAAAAATAATTATCGTATAATAAAAATAATTATAGATTAACATTAAGATAACATATTAGTATAATTAAAAAAAAATTATAAGTTAAAATTTTTAAAATAAAATTAAAGTATATAATTCTTTTTCAAAAGAGATAAATGACAAAATAAATGAGATAAGACGAAAATAGAAATATGGATATAAAAAGTGGGACTGAAAGAATACTAATTATTCAAATTATTATGCCTATATTAATTTGACCAATCAACACCCTAATACTCCCTCCGTCCCAATACAATAGTCTTGTTTACCATTTTTGTCGGTCCCAAAACAATAGTCTTATTTCCATAAATAACTATATAAACATAAAACTACCCATACTTTTTCATTTTTATTAAACAATTGTCGTTACTTTTTACATTAGTACACTCACAAGGGCAAAAAAATATTTTATCCATACTTTTTACCAACTATTAATATAATATCAGTATTTCTTAAATGTCGTGTCTAACCCAATTAAGACTATATTTATGGGGCGATGGAGTGTCATTTTATTTTAATTATACTCCCTCCGTCCCATAACAAAGTATCCATTTTTCCATTTAATCCGTCCCATAACAAAATATCAATTTTTCCATTTTAGTCCGTCTCATAACAAAGTATTCATTTCCTTTTTTAGTAACTGCACTTTCTATCTAACATTACAAATACCCTTACAACTTACAATATATTACACAAATGTTATTACCTTTATATTACACATACTAATAAGGTTATTTTAGTCATTTCTACTTTATTCATACTATATTCCAATATAATACTAATATTTTTAAAGTTACGTGCAAAAAGCAAATGAATACTTAGTTTCGGACAGAGAGAGAGTATATACATGTAAGTCTAGTGAACACGTGGATTGATTCGTACAAGATTCCTGTGTCCGACAAATTTGTACCAAGCTATCTTGTCTTTTATTTATTACACTTGGATTCTTTGTGGCTATTGAAAATTTCAGGTCACTTTCTCTATTTTTAGAATTTCAGTACCTTTCTTTCGCTATAAATATGCAATATGCAATGAATGTATCCACTATTTTATTTTATTTTATTTTATTTTATTCATTTATTTAACAAAATTACAAACACAGACCAATCCAACTCCACAATCTTCTAACAATTATCCTTAATTTTATCAAAGAGGGAATGAATGGAATCATTACACAAGTTGCCCTAATTGTGTAAGGATTGAATCCGTGACTGTAACTAATATACATACATATATACTATTATGTACATTTTATACTATGTTTGTCTTTCGATTTTTATTTTTTTCGTCTAAATTTATTCTCATTTTATTTTTTTATGTAAAAAGATACTACTATTTTTACTTTTTTTTTTTAATATTTAATAAACAAGTTTTTTTAATTTTACATATCTTTCTTATAATCGTGTTTGTTCAAATGAACGTGTATATATATATATTACTCTCTCCATCATTCAATTATGTGCTCATTTGACCGGATACAAGTTTTAAGAAAAATATGTAAAAATAGAAGTTTTTACTTTTTTTTTTTTTTTGGCAAAGAAAAGTGGTATTGTTTTACTTAAAAAAGGAAATGAAAATAAATTTGGATGACAACTAAATAAGGAAAGTGAGAATAGATTTGAACGACGAATGAAGTATCTCATTTTACTATTTTTGTCCATTCTAAATCAACTATTCTATTATAATAAAATAAATATGGTCATTACATTACTATAAATTATCGTTTTACCTTTTTTTAATATTATCATACAAATATTACTTCGCTTACACCTGAATTAATATATACATATACGAGTTTAATATGGGCAAAGTGGACAAATTACCATTATATTACACTTACTATCATTACACTATCAATATTCTTTATACTATGCGCGGAAAAATATGTGACAACAAATATGAATGAAAATAATACATATATATATTTTTATAAAAATTTGTAAAAATTATTTATTCTGACACAAGCGAAAGTACTATTTTTATCTTTTTCATCTATTCACTCAACTAATACTAAAATACTTATTATATAGATTAAAAACATATCAGTACATACGACGAAAATATTAAAATTATTTCATATTTACACTTATTAATAAAATATTATTATTTTTTAATTTACTATTCAAAAATTATACGGGTCTAACACGGACCGAGTATGCAATAAAAAATTGAACAAAAATCAATTTATTGTGTAATATAATAATGCAATCCTACCTAAATCTTTATGCCTTTTCATGTATATTAAAATTTATCCAATAAAAAGTTCACTATATGAGGACCATAATATTAACTAACTCATTACGTATATTAGAAGTGCTAACATCAAAATAACAAACAAATAAATAAATATTGCATTGCAATAACCTTAATTACACATATGTCTATATATATATATATATATATTATTTAAATTTTAATTAAGTAACGCTAATAAGAGGTCTTGAAGGACTCTTTGGGGCAATCAACATTACTTTGGGAGTTGATGTTGATGAAGAGGACGAAAGCCTCAGCTCCAACTCTTCTTCTTCCACACCATTCAAGTTGATTTCGATTAGTCGCCGTCGCGACGACGAACCACCATTCTTGCAGCCACCAAACTCCTGTCGAATACGCACAACATATATTCTTACATAAGTCCCGAGTACGAATTCGACAAGGAAGTAGTTACAACATCGGTCGATTACCATGTCGAATAGGCTAGAACGCCGCTTTTTATTCTTGTCGTCATTGTTGTTGTTGTTGTTACTGTTGTAGTTTTGTCGGAGGAAATACTTTTGAGCGTGGCTAGCAACTTGCGTAGGAGTTCGGGTTTTCACGTACTTTCTAGAGATTCCTCGCCAATCCCCTTTTCCGAGCTTTTCTAGCCCCAAAAGGAACGCGCTGTGCTCCTCGGCCGACCATGGAACTCCTATTATCAAAACAATATTTCCAATTAAAAAAATCATCAAAATCGCCGTAGATTAAAAAAATGATTAAATAAAAAACTCAAACTCAAATATACAAGATAAGCATAATGCACTATTCATACTCATCCCATACTTTCTAAATTAGAAAGTTACTACAATTAGGAAAGCCACTTCTATTCTTGGTTCAAAATACCTTTCCTCTTGTCCGGAGCCCGGCCGAAGGGGCCGTCCGATAAGTAGCCGTTGGAGGGCTTGTTCGGGATTATTTGAATTCGGGACAGCCCCGTCATCGAGGATGACGAGGAAGAAGAACACGGCGTTGACGTGGCGGCGGAGAGGCAGTCGAGGCTAAAGCTTTTCTTGATGGGAATCGAGGAGGACGAGACGACATCGAGCTGGAAGCCGAAAAGTCGAATTCCTCGACAGCTACTTGCTGCATTTCCTGGTTTTGTGCAAGTTCTTGAGTTGTGGCCTATGTTCCCACAATGTGAACATTTCCTTACCATCTTAGATTTCACTTCTCAATTTTCACTAATACCTTAAGACATATATTTGTAATAGAGAGGGGGGGGTGGGGGTGGAAGTTTGTTTGGTAATGAAATGAAGAAATACACAAAGTGATAAGAGGGGCAAAAGGGGTATAGGAAAATGGCTGCAGACCAAGTGTAGATGATTGGATCAAGATTGCTTCTTCAATTTTATGATTGATAATCTTTTCTATATATATATAGATATAGATATATGTGTGTATATATATATATATATTATTTTATTTTTTCCCTAAGTTGGATCTTTGCTGAAGATAGCAATAATGTCACTTTCAGTTTTCCGTCTCCAATTATTTTAATTCTTACAACAACAGTTGGTCAGCTCCACATATATGTATATGCATCTATACTTTTAGTAATTTGAAATCCTATCTGTAACATATATCTTTTCATTGGATTTAATCACATTATCCTGTCGGATTGTTTAAGGATGGCTTAATGAATTTTCCCGCATGTTTATCTAATAAATTAGTGCCTTTTTTACCCTCAATTGTTTGAAAAATTTGTTATCGAAGTATCGTTTAATATTTCAAAAAAAAAAAAGCCAAAAAAAGAAAAGAATGACCGATAAGAAGATCGAAATCTAAGTTTGAAAAGCAGTCGAATTTGAAAGACTGAACATCGATCGATCGGGCTTAATTCGTTTAAAAAGCATTCGAACTTGCGAGAACGAACATTGATCGATCGATGCAATCGGGCTTAATTCGTTAAAAAAGCACTCGAATTCGTGAGATCGAACATCGATCGATCGATGCAATCGTACTTAATTCGTTTAAAAAGCATTCGAACTTGCGAGATTGAACATCGACCAATCGGGCTTAATTTGTTTAAAAAGCACTCGAATTCCTGAGATCGAACATCAATCGATCGATGCAATTGGACTTAATTCGTTTAAAAGAATTCGAATTTGCGAGATCGAACATTGATCGATCGATGCAATCGGGCTTAATCTGAAATTCCTTTGAAGGATTTTCGTTATAAACAATCTACAGCTATATATAACGATCTGTACATCGAAGCCGGATAAATTTCATCGACTATACGTAGAAAATGCTGATACCATAGGCTGGCTGAGTCGCAGTAGCCTCTCCTCTTACAGAGTAAGAACATATTCATTCGATATCCTGTCTTTGCAACATCGATCGATCGAGGGTGCAAAAATTTTCACGTCGCAATGTCGCCTTCCAACATCCGAAGTACCTAAAGAAGGCAAACGACGCGATTCATAAATGCTCGTTTCAACGACTAATTACACGGTCTGCGCTCATGTTTTTTACCTGAGACATTCGCGGCCTCGACTGAGCGTCGCGTTGTAGGCACAAAGAAGCGCAATGCAGCATCATGTCAACTTCTTTCTCGCAACAGCAACTGTTCAGACACGGATCGAGCAGTTTCGATACCGCATTGTCTTTAATCAGAGAGCGCGCCTTCCGGAAGCCAAGAAAAAGAAAAAACGAACACGGGCATGTCAATAAGCGCATCGCTGAAACTTTTGACAAGAATTGCTCGATTCTTACCCACTCGGTCAGGCACTGCTCACCCTTAGGACGGTTTATGTCGACAGCTTTTCGACCAGTTACAAGCTCGAGCAATACGACGCCGAAAGAGTACACGTCAGCTTTCTCACTAACTTGTCCGCTTTGAGCATACTCCGGCGCTAAATATCCGAATGTTCCGATCACTCTTGTCTCCATCGACGACTCTCCATCCGGCTGCAATCTTGCAAGACCGAAGTCTCCAACCTGTTTCGGACAAGGTTAGAAAGAAGGTTGTCTGCGCAAAGTATGCGTCGAGTCGAGTCGAGACATGAAACTTATGTACGTACCAAAGCCTCAAAATCGTGCGTGAGGAGAATGTTGTTCGGGCGCATATCGCGATGGACAATGCAGCCTACTCGGCATTCTTCGTGCAAATATCGTAACCCTCGAGCAGATCCGATCGCGACCTTTTGCCGCGCCGCCCAATCCATCGGCGCTCGATTTCGCCCTGCGATCGATTTAAACGAAACAATAAAATCGACGATCTGATTGCTCGAAAAAATGTTGTAAAAGTACCGTATAGATGCGAATCCAAAGAACCGTTGCAGATGTATTCGTAGACGAGCAATCGACGGCTGTCCTCCGCGCAATATCCGATCAGCATGACGACGTTACGGTGCTGCGCGCAGCTCAACGCCTGCACTTCCGAGCAAAATTCGCGGTCGCCCTGCGCGCTCGCCAATTTATGTTGCTTAACGGCGACGACGACGCCGTCTTTTAAGATCCCACGGTGTACCGAACCGTACCCTCCCTCGGCCAAGAAGTTCGCCTCCGAAAAGCCACTCGTGGCTTCCTCGAGCTCCTCGTACGAGAACAACCTCGGAGGCTCGCCGAACGACGGCGTCTTGTTCAGACAATACGAGCACAGCGGAGGCGAGCGTCGAGGCCCGTTTCTGTTTAACGACATCATCTCGCATACGTTTTTCTTGCTTCCCGATCGCTGCAACGATTCTCGAAAAAATTTGGAACATTCGTCGGCGGAGCTCAGATTGTCGTCGATCCAGTGGGAGGAAATGCTCGCCGAAAGCGTGCTCGGGTTATCGCTGTCGGAGTCGCTGTCCGAATCGCGAAAATCGTAGTTACCCCCGAATGGTAGTGCCAAAATCTGCTTAACTTTTGGCTCCAAATTAATCTCCGACATGAACCTAGGCGAGGCGAGCAGCTGCATATCTATGCTCGAAATCGAGGATTTCCTATCCGGGCTAGTCGTTGGCGTCACATTCGGAACCTTAATCAAATCAAACTCATCATTGGCCAGTTTTTGCGACAAAGAAACGGCGCAATCGGCCTCAATCATCCTCGACTCTGTTAAGTTCCATCGGAGAAACTTCACGGAATCCGAATTATTAACAATTACGACGCTGCAGTCGAGCTGCGCCGCGCAAAACTGCGCTTCCTTCTTCATCTGCCTGGCATTACAGGATTTACGAACACAATGTATCTTATTACAGCATAAGCAGAAACAATTCCTAAATGTAAGAATGTAGATTATACTTCTCCATGATCAGCCATTGTGTCTGAACTCGCTTAGCTTCGGCAGCTACGACGGTGCCGCCACCGCCATCTTTTGATTCGTAGATCATTTTCAACTTCACCGTCACCTTCGAACAAAAAAATATCGAATGTAATTTTATTAATAAAAACGAAAACTAAGTACGATAGATATGCGATTGTTTTAAGTTTTCTCACAAGTGAACAACATGTTTGTATCCTGAAGTTTCGACATGTAAGCATACAGTAAGAGAATCACGAAGAACATAAGACGAGCGAGCATTGAATTGAAACCTTATTCGGATCGTATATGTTCTGAAGTTTGGACAGCATCTGATTGCACATCTCTGTAATGAAATCCTTCTGTTCGGATTTCGTCGTCGCCGACATAAATTTCGAGTATCCGGCGGTGCAATCGCTGCCGAAGCTCGAAATTCCCCACAGCCTTCTTCCCAGAAGCAGCTTAGCAGCAGTACCTTCGAACACATTAATTTAGCATCGAACAACGTTGTTAACTAACACTCCGCAATCTCTCCATCAATTATTACATGAAAACTCGAAGAAGAAGAGAATTTACCTGAGGTTTGATTATGACTTGGAATGAGCACAAGAAGCCTCACGCAATCCCCCGGCCGGACCACATTTGTTAAAGCCCATGTCAACGCAGACCTCGGGATATCCTTACATGGCTTCACGCCGACAACGACGGTTCTCCTCTTCGCATTCATCTCAAATTCGACCTTAATCGCATCGAATTAGGGGAAAACGCCCAATTTCACACCTCCTGGGCATTCGCAATTTTCGAAGGAATCGTTTGGGGAAGAATCGGACAAAAGGGGATACAACAGAAAAAAAAAAAAAAAGAAAAGAAAAAAAGGCATATATCTTTTGCAGGGAGGAATTGAAGAAGAAAGTCAATAACAATGGATCAGCAGTTCATACCGAAAACGTGAGATTGAAAGAACAATAGTACGCCTTGAAGAGATGCTAAATTTGCGCCAAATTAATTAAATTAAACTAAACCCTGATGGAGACGACGACGTTTTGAAGAAATGCTGAAACTGATGTGGAGACAGAAAAGTGGACTGACTACTGACTACCCATAAGTTTGACGTTTAGCAAACAAGACAACAAACGGGTTTCTATTATAATAAGTAATAAATAAATAATTTGAGAGGTTTCTTTCTGGCAGGTAGTGTCCTACTGCGTTGAAATGGCGTCGAGGCTTTCTCTTTCTGCTGTTATTTTATATGCAAATGGAGGGGACCTCTTGCAGTCTCTGCACTATTATGCAATATATATATATAATTTCTTTTTTTTTTTTTGGTTAGGAAATTTTTTATTTAGATTATAAGAATAACTATATATTTATAATATATATAAATAGGGTAAATAACACAAAAATTCTCTCTCTTAAATAAGATAATTAAAAAAAATATAATATATTAGTTTTTAAATATATTTTAATATATATATGTATATCCATATGTATATATAGGTTCGATTGGCTTCAAGTAGAGCTAGCAAAAACTAACCCGACACGAACCGATACGAAATAATTAGGTTTTGGTTAAAGATTTCAACACGATTATATATACGGGTTGACATGATAATAAACGGGCCGGATTATGGTTGAGACTCTCAACTCGAACCCGACACGACAACCCGATTATAATATATTAATATTGATTAATATATTTATTATATATGTAAAATAATCATAATTTATTATTTTTTTAATAAATTAATTTAAATTAAGTTCAATTTTAAATAATTCTAACATAATTTACGCTCAAACTAATAAAAACTAACATATCACGACAATACAACAAAAAATTATTTAATTTGAATAAAAAAATTCGACTCAATTATGTATACGGGTTAACACGAGTCAACCCAAATCCGACACAATAATAAACGGGTCAACACGAACCCGACACGATAATAAACGAATTGGGTTAGAGTTGAGTAATCTAATTCATTTAAAATATTCAACCCGACACGAATCGACCATTGCCAGCTCTAGGTCCAAGAATGTGCTGAGTTCTTCTTCTTACAAGAGTGTAAATTTAGGGATTGAGCATAATAGCCTATGATACTTTTTGAGAAACTATCTATAAAGTTCTAACTCATAATGTTACGATCCGATCATCATACTAAACCAATTCGGCCACTTTTTAGACAATAGCCTAATTATAAATTATTATTATAATCATTATTAATGTCAAAAATCAAAGTTACTATTACCTTAGTGTGCACGGAATAAATTTATGTACATTAAGGATAGTAGGTTGCTTATAATTGAATTGATGGAGGTTTATTTGATTGATTTATTTATTTTAAATTTTTGTTATTTAAATTTTAAAATTTTTGAAAAATATATATTCGAGACAAAAGGTAAACATAGAGAGTATTATTTTTTAAAAATTAAATTAAATTTAAAGATGAATTTGCAATTATCAACCCAAGACAATTCTAACATAATAAACTGTTTGTTTTCCTACTAGGCTCAGAAGCCATTCTTCTTAGCATATCCGGTTTTTCGTACCAGGTATAAAAGATGCTTTAAATGAGGATTGAAGCACAAAAGAATACCTCTAGAAGATACTCGAAAATGCTCCGCGCAGCCTTTCAGCCAGCAAGCACCACTCTCAAAGCCTCGAGTCTACAAAAGCTCGGTTATTGGACTTCAACTTGGCGTGAGTTTTATGCAGACCATCACTGGAGATGGCTGGAGTGGCTCGGGACTTGAGAGTGGAAAGGTGCCGGAGCCGAGTTACAATGTGGAGGCACAAGAAATAAATGGCGTCAACCTTGAAGAGCATTCCATAGAATTCAATTTGAACACGTAAAATAGCTACAACTTTATTGGCATCGATAGATCCGTGTTTGAACTTGAAGCCAAACCTTTTGAAAATGGATTAAACTTTGGTGTAAATTAAAGTTGGATTTGAGTATAATATATGCAGTTGATTATTTGTTCGATGAATCATCCGTTGATAAATTAATAAACTATTGTACTTTGATTAACTGATAAGTCAGGAAAAATTTGTTAAGACATGTATTGTTGACATCTTTAAAACAATACAATCCATCTATAAGGCGACGATGCTATTTGAGCTATCGGCACATATTTATGAAGATGTTATTATGTTTACAAATAAAAGAATGTTCAAGATTATCAAAGAAAAAAATATGATAGACAATCGAAAAGCCAGCATTCGTCGACGTGCACAACCAAAACAATTGCATTTTAACGTCAAGCTTTTACCTTCCTCCGGTTTCGGACAGTGTAATTTCAGTAACTAATTTTTTCCTGGCTGCCTCTCATTTGCTCATCCAATCAAGGATGGATTCTTTGGTTGCGGCAAATTCTTTGTAGTTATGGAAATTACTTAAATAGATAAAATTAAAGGAGTTCCATGAATTTTTTATTGTAGTTTTCAATTATTTTTTTTTTTTATGTAACACATTAAAGCTATTCTTTTCCATTCATTCATAAGAAAAATTGTATTTTTTATTTTTGTTCTTACAGCTCATTGTAATTCTTTTTTCTTCTTTTTCTATATTGTTGGATATTTTATTCCCTGTAAATTCTATATATTATTAGAATAAATTTTTTTGATAGATTTAGAATATTTTATTAATTTTATAAAATGTCAGGAAAACTTCTATATACATTTATATCAATATTATATATGTGATATATTTATTTTTCCATTTTATTATTTTTTATTTTTTTATCGGATGATATTGATAATTTTAATATGAATTTTATAATTTTTTTTTGGTTTTTAAGTAATTTTATGTGTTTTTCTAATGAATATAGCATTAATATTATATTTTATTATATAGATCCTGAGTAAAAATATTGAAATGCTTAACGAAAACAACAATTCGATCGTACGTCAATTGTATCAATGCACTGATAGGTAATTGCGGAGCCTCTTTTCAATACTCTACTGATGCATCCAGAAAAATTGATTGTTAATTTATCATATCACCACCTTTCATCATAGGCAAGTGTCAATTTTTACAAGCCAATCATAAGCTACAATTTTCAAAAGCTGGATTGTCTTTCGTGCTTCATTACATTCTATATGATCAATGGAACACACATCTTCCAATTTTACATCTTTTTAACTTTTTTTGTTGAAGTTAGAACATATATACGGAAGGCAAAATCGATGTCAACCACGAGGTAGGTGAAATGTAGGAATACGATCATCTACACTCGTGATTCCAACATATCTATATGATATTAGATATGTGTGATACATATCCTGCACAATACACTTGTATATACATGTCATTATTCAACATTTCAAACTTTATAAATTTTAGAACTTAGTAAATTAAATTACCTGCTTACTAGTTGTAAAAACCACAATCAAAATAACCTGTTTACTAATTATAAAAATCACAATCAAAATTCAATACTTACCGTTCGCATTAAAATTTGTATCCGAAAAATTGATAACATTTTTAAATAGTGGGATGAAATATTACACTTTTTTCTTACTATTAAAACAAACAAAAAATTAAAATTATACGTTAAAAATTATTATATTGAGAGGTCAAAAATCCAACCCTTACACTGTCAGATCATACCTTACAGGACATAATATGTTTGATTTTAACACTATAGTACGTGCAACAAGCAAATTACATAACACAACACTATAACTTACATAGCAAATATTAATAGTATGTAGCACAATATATGTTGACAAAATATAATACATACAACACATATTTCTAACGTAAGATATGTTATTTTTCTTATAATGATTTGCTAATTGTTTCACGTTAATCTACTAATTTGGTAATATATTATATGTCTTATGATGATTCGCTGGTTATTTCAAAGTCAAAATTATTTGATCAAATCAGTATCATCGCGATCGCCAAACTATTAAATTAAATTATAAGATGAGTATTCGATTTCGATATGATTACACAGAGTCTCAATTCGAACAAAAAAACAAAAACAAACGGATCATTTCAATTTAAGAAACAATAAATAAAAAAATAAAAATTCAACCGTCAATCAGAAACCGTTCAGACAAAACAAGTCGATATGAATAAAGGTTCTTATGTTAGTTACCAGTGGGTAATTTTGTAAGAAATAAAAGTGTGATGTCGCCCGCCACAATCTCCATTTCCAGCGTTGCCTACCTTGCGGTTAATTACTTCTCTTAACTTACCATCAACCTTAACCTCTCCTAACATTAATTAATTAATTAGTTTCTCAATTCAAAAAATTTTCCATTCTTCTCATATTACTACAACAAAAATGGTTTGTCTGAAACTCTTGAGACCTTCAACTCTCTCCTCCTTCATCAACGTTAATCTTAAAATACAGTCGTCGTTGCCGCCGCCGATCCGGCATTGCCGACGTTGGATAGCCACCGTTGTCGCCAATGGGAGACGACAGAAGAGGGAGGATTTAACATGCGAAAAAATCGACTCCGATTTCGCTCCTAATTGGAAGGTTTTCTTCTTGTATCCCTTCACGACAATTTCATATCACTTTGAATGTTTAAAGTTCTCTCTGAATTTATTTTTTTATTTTCTTTACAATATAATATTTGCAATTATCGATAACAATATATTCTCTTCCGTCCATCCTCCAAATATATACTCATTTAGCTTTGATTTGATATAAAGTATGAACATAAGTATATAAATGAGTTAAAAAGGTGAGAGAAATTCTTTAAAAAATTGAATTTTTAAATATAATTTTGAAATATATGGTCCTTTGCGACGATTTTGATATTTTTATATAAAGTAATTTTTTTTGTAATTTAAATAAAATTTAAAGGTATTTGTATTAGTGTACTACGAGAGTATATATATACATAAATAAAAATTGTGGACAAAAATTATAGTCATATATTTGGTGGACAGGTATGTTTCTTTTGATTGGTTTGGAAAAAAAAAATTGGTTTTAGTTTGATATTAAAATAATATTTTATGAGATATTTTATGATAGAAAAAATTGTATTTTTTTCGATAAATGCAGAGTCCGAGTAATAAAAAACCATGGATTTCTTTCAAAAGAAATAGAGCTTGTAGTACTTGATTTGAACAAATTCGGATATCCGTGCATGATTTGGGCTGTAGGTTCTAATCGAACCGACAAATTGGTACGACGATCAAATGGAGCGGTACAATAAACAAAGCCTCGCTGGCTGCACTCGAGGGCCGGGGCTCTACGAACTCGGCATGCTAAGGTTGTTGCCGCAACACGGCGAAATAATTGGCCCCGACTCGAGTGCTTTGCTTCCTACTTACATTGGTCGTGCAAAGAATGTTTGTGTTAGGTTGCAGCAATACGGCCGCAATGGCGCGCATTTGGAGAACGGATGCTCGTGTCCTAAGCTTTTTTCTAGGGTTTTGTCCTTAGGGTTCGCAATTACATTTCGCGTGGCGCCGGTAAATGAAATTACTAATGCATAATAGTTCATTTTGATCGATGACGATGGCATTAATTCATTTGTTTTGACCTTGTGACATTTATTTTTTTTTTTACGAAGATGGACAACTTGGAAGTAGCGAAGAACGTCGAAGACAAGCTCCTCGACACATATGACTATGCGTGGAATGACAAAAAAAATGGCGGACGTCGGCCTCATGATATCTACGAAAAGATCGAGTTATTATGCAAGAAAGAGTCCCTTACTAATGTTGTCGTACAGAATGATTAATAATCTTTAATTATATTATTATGATGTGAATTTTACTTTATATTTTATCCAAATTATATTATCGTGTGTAAGCATTCATATTATACACATAGGTAGGTAGATTATCTAAAATTTTGCATATATAAGATTGTAAAAAAAAAAAAAAAAAAAAAAACAATTAGAGCAACGAAGTACTCTTTGTGTAATATAAAGTTGTCATATTTATTATTTTTATAATGTGAGAATTTGCATAAAATAGATTCGACTAGGCAAGTTATGTGTGGTGTAGCAAACAAAACCTAAAGACGTCAAAATTGTCACATTTATTTATATTTATAGAGTATGTGGTCTATATTCAATTATCAATTTATCTCATTTTTATTTTTATTTACAAAGTAAATATCATGTCACAATATACATTTTGGCCTCTTTGGTTCACGGATTTGGTAAAATTTTATGTGATTTGAATTTTAAAATCGCAATGATAAAGTATCTTTATTACTTTAAAATCTGCATTTTGAATTTTACCTTTATATTTTTCTGTTCAACAAAAAAATTCTTTTTTTTTTTTTTTTTAATATTATATATATTTATATTCAGATTATATTTTGTTGATTATATAAAAATATAATAGTTTATTTAAAAATATTACTATAAATACATATATTTATTTATAACCATTAATTTTAATTATATTACTAATAATATTTTAAATAAATAAACAATTTCAAAATTAATTTATTGGTATGTTAGTTTTGTATGTTTAGTTAGAGGTATTTTTTTATATTAGTTATGGAAAGGAGTGTCAACAACATAAAAAAATAATATTTTAGGTTGAATTATTATATTTTTTAGTGTATAGATTATATATAATAATATATTTTGTATAAATTTGTATATATTGTGGGTGCAAACCCAAGTTTCACATTGAAAGTTAAGAACCTAAGTGTTTTTTTCGGAGAATATCCAAAAACAAATGCTCAGCCCAAAGCGGACAATATCATATTGAGTTAGCCCAGTCCCAACTCAGGTATCAGAGCCCGGTGGACATTTAATTTATTACAATAAATAAAATTCGTGAGAGAATAATTATGTTATTTAAAATATAAAAAAAATTAATTCTTTAATTAATCAACAAAACACATTGGATTTGAGAAATATAAATCAAATACTAGTTTTTAAATTCAAAATATCATATTAATATTTATCTTATATTATATCAAACAAATATTTATATTAAAAATTCTAATATTCAAAATTAAACTCAAAGCCTAACACCAAACAAATGCACAAAACCACTCAAAGCAAAACCCCAGACAAATGGGCCGTTGACAATAATACATCATATAGGAAATTTTAAATAATAAACATATCAGATAAATTGTATAATATATTTTGTATTTTATTAAAAATACATAAAATATTTTTGATATTTTATTTATTATATAAAATATTTTTATATTAAGATATTATCTATATTCTATACCCTCTCACTAAAAAATATATATATATTCCGTTTGTTATTCAATTTTGTGCTCATTTGATCGTACACGAATTTATAAAAAAAAAAATTACTTTTTAAAGTAAAAAGAAAATGACATTTTTTATTAAAAAATAAAATAAAAATAAATTTAGATGACAAAAAAATAATAATAATAATAAATAAATTTGAATGATATAAAAAATATTACTTTTGTAACCTAAAATTTTTATCATTAAATTTAATTTTTCTGTTACTAATGAGAATGTATCTCTTTGAGTAAGAAAGTTCAATCTATAAAGTAGGAAAATTTATTTATATAATATATAACAAATTTAAAATTAAGTAATATGATTAAATTTATTAAAAAAATTGCAAGTAGTTAAATTTTGCAATTTTATCGATTAATATCATACTTCAATGTCAAGATGCATCATAAATTATTTTCACAAAAGACAAAATATTTATAAATATTGATTATAATAATTTAAGATAAATCAAAAATAAAATAAAATACATTTGGCATTTAATGTAGGTGTGGTACTTCGGGTCGACCAGGATTTCTCATTTTAAAAATAAAATACCTTTGGCATTTAAAATAGAGGTGGTAATTCGGGTCGGCCCAGCATTCCTCGGCCCAAGCACCTGGTTTAAAACTGGGCCGACTCGATTTTGTTTTAATTATTTTTTCATTTTAAATTAATTTAATAAAAATTTGTCTAAATAGGAATTGAATCCGAAAACACATACTATAAAAATTTTACCATCAAACTATAACCTAATTTATACTACTATTATATTAGTTAATTAATATATATATATACACAAATACTATTAAATACTAAATATTAATTTTAATTTTAATAAATCAGTCAAGTACCGTTCGAAAATTTTTGAATTTATTTTTGAGGTTCAAATACAAATTTTTTGTGTTGTACTTGTACGTGATTAAAATTTAGATTGTATTTATTTTTGTTACCCTTAATTTAAAATCGCACTCTTCTCTTTTTTTTTGTCAAACAAAAATCATCTGACTTAGGAGCAGGCCTGATGCAACTATGTTCGCGTCCGAACGAGCACTGAATCCTTTAACAATCGACTCCCTACCCACACCACAAGCAAGTGGGAGTGGAGCCCCCATCTAAAGTTATGGGGCCTCGGCAGCGGCTGCCGGAGGAGTGGCGGCGGAGGCGAGGAGGCAGGAGAAGGCGACGAACTCCTCTCGATTGATTGATTGCCAATGGCAATCGGGAGAGTATGAGAAAGAATATCACCAATTCTCGATGGCTTAGGATCAACCAAAAATGAAAAATTCTTTGTGAACATTTTGTCGAGCACCTTAGGAACAACTTATATTGCACTAACGTTACATCTCCGAGACTTCAATTATAAAAATTATTCGAACCAAAACAATCGGAAGCCGCCGCGGCAGTGGATGTCTTGTCAAAAGATCCCCACCAGTGCAGGACAATAGTAAATTAGTCGAAACTAATCAGCTGTCATGATCAAAATTTATATTTCTTCTTAATCTATAATTTGGGGTTCATTATTTATTTATGTTATATATAAATTTTTTATATATATAAATTATTTGACATTAATGTATTAATATAAGAGTATATCTTGGTAGTTAAGTTTTATCCTTTTGAGATTTTGGGTTCAAACCTAAATACCTTCAAATTTAAAAAATATTTTTTTATACATTAAAAGGAATTAGATAAAGTTAATATTAATAGTATTATTGATATTTTGTATATAAAAGTATTAGAAAAATTATTTTTTTTAATTATTTATATTTTATTATAGATAAAAAAATATATTAGTTATACATATTTAGGGGCTCTAATTTTTGTTTTAAGATTGTTAATAGTAATACTTATATTGATGTTTTATCTAAAAAGTTCTAAAAAAGAAATTGTTTTATTTAATAATTTTTATTCTATTATAGGTAAAAAAAAATTCGGGAGTAGATCATTTATATATATTTAGGGGTCTTTTATTTTTGTTTTAATTATTTTTTTGCACTAAAAAGATAATAAATATTAGACCAAATTATTATTATTATTAGGAAAAATTATCAATAACTCCCTTATGGTTTCGAAATTCAGTGTAAATACTCTATATACTTTAAAAATGGTATGAACCCATTTATACTTTAAAAAACGTTCCATAAAGATGACTTTTTATCTATATTTTTTTGCATGACAGAGGTTTCACATAATATTTGTTAAAATACAAGGGAGCATTACACAATTTTTAAAGTATATAAAAAAATTATACTAAATTTTGAAACTAAATTTATGCTAAAATTTTTTTTATTTACATTTTATTATAAATAAAAAATATTATATATATATATATATATTTAAGGACCTCTTATTTTTGTTTCGTTTCGGAGCCTTCAAAAGTCAGGAACGGCCCTGTATACGTAGCACTCACTGTATCTGGAATCTGCGAGCCTTCTCGATATAAGTTTGATGTGAATGAATGGATATAACAAACATATTTATTGAGCTCTTTTAATTAAATAAATAAATGGATTCAAAACATAAAATGAATAATTATTACATAAAAATAAAAAAATGAAAAATTGTGAATTAAGGAGGAAGTTGGTTGTGTAGGACAGGGCATGGTATTAATTAAGTATGAATAAATGAAATGAAAATAAATAAAAATTGCACGTTAGGAATGATTATAGATAAATGGTGGCCATCGATCATCATTATCATTATCTCTTTTTTCACATTTACATATGTTGCATCAAACACATCATTTTTTTTAATCGAATTATTGATTTTTTTATATAGATATATATATATAAAGTATATATTATATATATTGTATTTTTTTGTAATTTTAATAAATATTTTTTAGATTAGGTGAACATATTGCAGTATATATTTTATTTAAAATATTATACTTCCTCCCTCCGGTAAGAAGATTGTCATTTGGTTTTTTGGGTCATTTTATTTAACATTAAAAATATTCTTATATTTAAATAATTTACTCGACAAATATCATTGCATTTGTACTATAAGAGACTAATAAACATATTTTTGTCTTTTTCTCTTTATTTTTAATACATATTAATATAATAATTAATATTCAAATATCAACAAGGACACACTCGTTACAATTTACACCATCAGTGTTCCGTAGGCCACTGGTGCAACTACGTGGCTTGCTCTAAAAATCGAATTGGTCAGCAAAAACACAGGTCAATCATATATTTATATATATATATATAATTTATAATTAATTTTTATTATTGAGGTCTTACTGTCAAATTATATATATCTCAAATATTTAATAATATTTTTTATACTATTTTTTATCTAAAAATATTAAAAAATATATTTTATTTAATTATTTATATTTTATTATAAATAAAAATACCTAGTCCTTTGAAAGTTAGAAACGCCATGATTCCATCCTTTAGGTGCTTTGAATTAGAATCAGGATGGTTATAGCAGTTCATTGATATGATTTTTTCTATTTTATCTTTAATTTTTATTTATTTATTTTTACTTATTTGTCCAATATATATATATATATATATATATACATAATACTTTTTAAGGACAAAATTAAAGCAGGAATTAGCTTTGGGCAAATAGTTTATTTACATCCCTAACTTTAGACACTCACTCTCACCCCACTTCACAATGAAAAGCACTCTTTGTCGTTTTAATATTCTCAAGACTCTTATGTGTCACACCTAATTATTATCTTTTTTTTTTTAATTTTTTTTCAGACTTTTCACTATTTAATGTTTATATTCTCTAATTAAAATATTATGTTTCTTATCATAAACTATCACATTCATGTACTATTTTTTTTAAAGAAAAAAAAAATCCCAAAAGAAACATTGTGTTATATTGATGTGGTTTGTCGATATGTAGAGGTTCTAATCCCAAATGTCATTGTCCGTAATGATTCTTAAATATCAGATCATTAGAATTGTGAATATATATACAGAAAGCCCAATTGATTTGATAGATTTAGATTTGAGAATAAATTTTTTAATATCTTGGAAATAAATGGATTAAAAAGTTATTTAAAATTACTCTAGTCCAAATTCTACTGATCTAAAATATAAAAATGATGGATGATGTGGTCGAAGTTGTATTTTTCCCAAAAGAGAACATAAATAATCATAATATATATATATATATATATATTTATTTAAATAAATTAATATATCAGACGGTGTACACGATCACGAAGCAAGGCAGAACAGCCCTCGGATTGAACACCAAGAGCTCGCCGTCGCCGGAGGCGGCGCCGCCGCGTCGGCCCTCCAAGGAATCAAACTCCGCCGCGCCGGGGTAGCATCCGACCCGGCCGGCGATGACCCGGCAAACGAGCAGGGCCCGTTTTATCTTCATGAAGCTGAACTCCTCCTCGAGATCCTCCGGCACGGCGGCATGCGCCGTCCAGCTCGTCGGCAGCGTCGCGATCCCGTCGGCGTCCATCTTGCCGGAAAATCCGGCGCGGATGATCCCGCACGCGCTGCAGTACTGGTGGCGGCAGACGCCGGAGTCGAGGCTGCAGACGACGGTGGTGCAGCAGAATCGGAGCAATTCGTTCCCGTCGGCGATGCTGCGCTGGTCCCGGAGAATCTTCAGGTTCGCGGCCGCCGCCGCCGCCCGGAGCTTGACGGATTCACGGTACTCCTCGAAACGGGCGACGGTTTGGGGGCTGTTGTGGACTTTAAGAATCCGGTGGATAGTCGGAATCTTTGCCTTCTCCGGCCATCCCGTCCGGAAAATTATCCGGACGATGTTCTCGCCGTCGGCGAGCTCGGCGACGGCGTGCTTGGCCGACTGGTGGTGGTCGAGGAGGGTCGGGGTCGGGAAAATCTCGCCGCAGAATGGGCACGGGTGGAGGTTGAGGTTGCCGGAAAAAATGGCGACCTGATCGGCGTCGTCGGTTCCGGCGAGAGGGTTCAGGCGGAGGGATCTGGTGGAGGACGACGGCGAGGGGATGGAGTGGATTGGTTGGGAAATGTGGGCTCGGTCGGCGGCGTCGGAGGAGAAGATGTTTTTAATTAAAGAAAAGAAGGATTTTCGCGGCGGCGGCGGAGGTTTTTTCTTGAAGAGGCGGCGGCGGCGGTGGGCGGAGGAGAAAGCGAAGCATCCAAAGTGGTAAAGAAGGAAGAGGAAGGTGAGCATTGTTTATTTGTTAATGGCGTGGGAAGATGTAGAAGAAGATTTGGTGGTTTAGTAGAGTAGAGGAGACTGGTGCATGTCATCATTGTGCAACCTTTTTTTTTTTCTTTCTAATTTTAGGGCTTTATTAATTAACCCGAAATGATGACGTGGAGACCATCTAATAATAGTTAAATGTTACTCTTTTCGTCCTGCGTATCTAGTCAGGTACAGTGTAAACATAGTACTTTAGGGAGTATGTAATTAGTAGATAATTAAAAATATATTAGTGAAAATAATTATTCTATAAATATAAATAATTATAAATTAATATTAAGATAACTAATTAGTTTAATTAAAATTAAAAAAAAATAAAATTAAAAAGTTTAAAATAAGATTAAAGTGTAATCATTTAAAAAAAAAAAAAAGTGACATGGTAAATGGGACGAACAGAAACGACAACATGGACATGGTATGTGAGGCGGAGGTACGTTTCTTCGTATGAATTTGAAAAAAAAAAAATTGGTTTGGATTTGATATTAAAATAATGTATTATGTGATATTTTATTAGAGAAAAAAATATATTTTTTTTCAAAAAAACACATAATCCAAATAGTAAAAATTTGTTATTTTATATTCAATTTTGTAAATAAATTTTAGTTCAATAAGGATTTGTTTATTTTTGTAAAAAAATCTCTGCACATTTTTTCAATTGAAAGTCGAGAGGACGAGGGTTTTGCCATTAAACTATATTTTCTTTCCCTTTTACAATTAACTGTTGATCATTTAAATAATTAATTTAAATATTTGATAAATTAAATTTTTTTAAAAAAATTATTGAGCGTTAAAAATTAATTTTCAAAATGATGTCTACTCATATTAATTTGTTTTTTTTTTTTTTTATTTATTCTTAATTTACCTTTAAACATTAATTTATGTTTATTTGTGAGGTTTTAATTTTGAATTTTAAATTGAAATAGTTTTGACAAATAATATTCAATTTGCCGTATTTTTTTTACCTATCTCATTAATTTAATTTTTTTTTTATCAACTTTTAAATAATTTTTTTTATAATATCTCATCCAACTTTTTACCTAGAGCTAACAATGAATCGCGTCGAGTTTGTTGAATTTTAAACGGATTAAACTGTCCAATCCGAAGCTGACCGACTCAACTCGAAGAATTACATGTTAATCCGTTTAATAATTTTAAAACAGATTATATGACCAAAATTTGACACCGACCCGATTAACACAAAATCGACCTATTTACCCATTAAATTTTTTTTCTAAAATTAAATTTTCAAATATCAAATTATCAATCTCCAATAAAATATAAAAGTCAATAAGCCAATAAAAAATAGTTGTACATACATACACAAAAAATAGTAAAAACTAGTATTAAAAATAATATTTTTAGAATGTATTCAATTTAAATTAATATTTTTAAAAAAAATATTAAATCAAAATTATTTTATATATATAATAAATATATTAATTAATATTTATATTTTTATAAATAGATTGTCGTGTTGGGTTCGGATTGAAAGTTTTAACTCTAACTCAACTCTAACTCAATATGTTTATTATTGTCTCAGATTCATATCGATCCGTATTTATAATCGAATCAAAATTTTTGATCAAAACTCAATTATTCTCAGTTGGATTCATGCCGGGTTGCCATATCGTATCTATTTTTTCTACCTCTATTTTTACCTATCTAATTTTAACATTAAAAATCATTATTTTTAAATATTTATATGCAATCAAACTTACATAATTCTTTTAACCGATGGAATACTATTTTTGAAAACAATACTTTTTATTTTTAAATTTTCAATAAAAATATATCTTTTTGGTAAAATATTATATTAAAAATATTATTTAAATGAAAATGTAAATCAAAACAAATAACAAACCCTAGAGATTCGCTTGTGTTAAAATTTTTTATTATCAATTTTTTACTACTTAATTTTAGGTTCTCTAAAAAAAATATATTATTATTTTTTTCGTATAATAATATTACAGTATTATTTATATCAAAAATGAAATAAAAGTCTAAAAAAAATCAAAAGAGACAAACCTCTTCAGAATATTTTGTAATAAAATATATACATACATTTATTCCCATAGTTATTGTAATTTAAGGAAATAATAATATAAAATTGTATCTGTTCGGATGCGTTCGATAGTAAAAACAAACCATTAGTATTATTAATTTCATAAAATTTACAGTTGGAAGTATTTGTTTAAGGTTTGAATTTGAGTATATTATTTAAAAATAATTAAAATTAAAAAAATACACATAAATAAATATGTAATATAATATTTGGATAAAAATTATTTGTACTATATTAATAAAAATTAAATATTTGATTTCTTTTGTACAAAAAAGTTTAATACTATTATTATCACTCGCAATATGTACAATTTTCAATATAAGCATATCAATTTGTATAAAATATCTTAAAAAAATAAAACATTTTAATAATTATTTTATAATTAAAAATAATTAACAATTTTTTAAAAAAAAAATTAAATAATAAGAAATTGATCAATATATACTTACATACTCTCTCTCATCCAATACAATAGTTTTGTTTACTATTTTTGTCTGTTCCAAAATAATAGTTTTTTTTTTCATAAATAACCAAATCACTATAAAACTATTCATACTTTTTTATTTTTTGACACTACTTTTTATAATAATACACTAACAACGACAAAAAAAATTTTTATTTATATTTTTATTAACTACTAATATAATATCAATATTTTTTAAATTTTATGTCCAATCTAATTAAGATTATATTTTTGAGACGGTGGAACTACTATTTATTTATTATTTTTTCTCAATTAATTAAATAAGCATTCTCAGTGGGCTTATGGCCCCAAAGTGGATACCTGCTTTCTTTAGCGGTGTACCATCCAATGGTGCATTGATTAGGGGTATTTTGGGAATTCCGTATAACAGTGCGTTTGTTTGGATGTTTGGATTTTGAGTTGGGATTTGAATAGTAAAAATTTTGAATTTGAATAGTTGTATGATGTGATATAAATAGGTGTTCATGTGATATTTTGAATGTAAAATTGATTTTAAGTTTAATATAAAAAATAAAAATTAAGTGTTTGATTTGATGTTTTTGAGGAAAAAAATTAGATGAATAGTGAAAAAAAAAATTCAATCCCTCAAACAAATACACCCAATGGTCATCGTAGATTCGTATTTCTTATGTAATTAATTTTACTATTATGTCATTTGTTACATCTTGAATTATTATTATTATTATTATTATTATTATTATTATTATTATTATTTTGTGATTACGTTGTTGCTAAAAATAGAATATAAAAAAAAAATAAATGACAAATTGGTTGAGACCTTAAACAATAGTAGTTGAATTTAAAAGATATAATCAATAATCCGTTAGGAATGACATAAATATATTTATTCATTTCATTTTTAATACTCCTTCCGTCCTACATAAGATAGGTATGTTACCGTATATATCAAATTTTAAGTAAAATATAATTAATAAGTAATTAAAAATTATATTAGTAAAAATAACTATTATTTAGTATAAATAATTATACATTAAGATTAAGATTAAAAAAATTTTAAAATTTAAAATATAATTAAAGTATATAATCAATTTTTCCAAAAAAAAAAAAAAATGTAAAATGGACAAAAATAAAAAATATGATCAAATTATTTGAGATGGAGTGAGTCTTTGTATAACTTAAAAATAAAGAATATATTCACTCCGTCCTATAAAAAATATCCATTTTTTTATTTTAGTCCGTCTCATAACAAAGTATTCATTTTATTTTTTCAGTAACTGTACTATCTACCTAACATTACAAATACCCTTACAACTTACAATATATTACACAAATGTCATTACCTTTGTATCACACGTATTAACAAAGTTATTTGAATCATTTTACTTTATTCTTATTATATCATAATATAATATTAATATTTCTAAAATTACGTATAAAAAGGAAATAGATATTTTTTTTTTGGGACGGAGGGAGTATAATTTGGAAAGCGTATCAATCATATAAGATATGTATTGTATATTTATAAAATATTTAATATTATAATTATTATTATTAGAAAAAGGAAACAATTAATAATAAAAGTGGTGGATGGATCAGCAGCTGCTATATATACTTAAATTGCTTTTGTCGGTCATCATATCGGACATGCAATAAAAATATATATTCTGACTATTTTAAAAATGGATAATGATGACAAGAAGGGTTAGAGATTCCTGTGTTTACTTTGTTTTTCTTATTGTTTTTAATTTTTTTATTGTGTAATTTATATAATACTTGTTTTTATTTTAGTACAAATGCATAAAATACTATATATTTTATTTATCGGGTGAAATCATCTTGTGTAATGTAAAGTTTGCATGAAACTCGTTTAAAATTAATATTTGGTTTTGAATAAAGACCTAAATTACAATTTTTATACAAATAAAAAAAGTAAAATATTTTAAATCATTTTTTGAATAAAATAAATAAATTGAAATAAAATAAATATATAAATAATTAATCAATTTATTTATTTTATTTTATTTTTAAAAATTATTTCTATGATAAATAGCTTAACTCTTTTCACATATAACATATTTTAGTTCATTAAGAACCCATTCATTAAACTAAACAAACTAAACACAAATTATAAGTTTTAGCTCATTATATTTACAAATAAGTTCGAACTTGTTCACGAATATTTGATAGCATTTATTATAAAATTAAAATAATATTTTTATACTTAATAACTATATAGGTATATCTTTATAAATATTATATTTTTAATTCTATTTTATTTACATTTATTAATATAACATTAAAATTATTACCAATTGAATTTAAATCTTAACAAAATAAATAAATAAATAAAATAATAAATCTCTTAAATAAATAGCCTAGATAAACTGAACACAAACAAAAAAATATTACTAAACGAACCGAACTCAAATAAAAATTTTAACTAATATTTCTTAACGAACAAGCTCGGTTCAGTTTGGCTCGTTTGCAAATTCCATAACTAGTTAATATAATCAAAATTTTTCTTAATTAAAATGACATTTAGTTATTTTTTTAAAGTACCCAAAGTACCCTTTACTAAAATCAACCTTTAAATTAAAAATGAAATGGATCGAATAGACCAGACCATAAAAAGATACAAATTAGAATTAATGTATAAATCAATGCCCCCAGTCACCAATAAGCTGCCTAAATATGACAACAAAAAATCAAAAAATTAAACCAAGAACTAGAATCACAGCAAATAAATGCATATAGCCCTCAAGATCAGACATAACAGCAAAGCTACACACATAAAGGGCATTCTGGCTAGAAATTGGCTTTCATGTGTCAAGATTTTGGATTTTATCGAAAGAAATATTTACCCGATATCACCACAACATAGCAGATATGAATATGATCTTCGATCTCTACACTTTATCTGAGGATGGAGTTTCGAGATCACTCCCACTATCTGAGTTTTCGCTCCTCGGCTCCATGGATTTTTCTCTTGGTAGTGAAGAAAGATCGGAAGCTTTGTACTTTATGAATTTTAGCCGCTTGGTTTCTTTACCATCCTTAGTCTTTCGTTTTTTCCCTTTTTGTTCCGATGGCTGCAGTGAGCGCGAAGCGCTTATAAATGCTGCACTCATGCCTGAATTCGTCTTTTCATCATCATCATCATCGGTTATATATTCTTCTTGACCTTTGTTATCAATGAAGAAAAGGGTTTCAGAATCTTGTCCGAGCATTGCTTCCCCTCCAACAATCCGTTCTATTTCTTCCATCGAATTAAAGGTAGCTTTTAACCTGGCCATGTCATCATCAAATATTCTGATCCCTTTGTTTTCTATGTTCAGCATCCATCCTGCACAGCAACGACACAGATTACAGCAAGAGTATATATTCTATCCGGTTTTAATGGTGGACTAAACAAATAACGTACTTATAAATGCTCTTGGCGATGATCCTGCCGGTTCATTGGTACTTAATTCAGTCCCAGTTTCACTTTTAACATATTTGATCAATAACCTTGGCAGAGTAGAACTTGCAAAGGCATTTGAATACAAAACAGCTTTTGCATGGTCATCGTGTTCCCTGCAAACGAGAACATTTTATGACGTTTCTTTTCATGAAACAGATATTTGGTGTTCCAACTGATAATTTTTATAACTGCATACCTAAACAACTCAATAGCTTTATGAGTTGCCATTAGTTTGGTAAATATGACCTTTTTGGCAAGTTTCTTCGGAAGTTGACTCATGCTTTCGGAGCTAAGGAAGGAATATTCCACCAATATCACGGCATCAAAAAGAATTTTCCTCAAACCACTTTCACGTTCAGGGTTCTGACAAAAATTATAGAAATTGTACAAAAATGTAAAGAGCATTAGTTAAGACATAAACTCACGAACCTTCACAATCAAGGTAAACAGTACAGAGCAGATAACAAAACTAACCAAGAGGGAGGTTGTAGGCAAAGTCGGTTCCAAGAGCAAACTAACAAGCGCCGCTGCAAACATGATGAGAAGATAAGGAAAAGATCACAGCCAAAATAATATGAGGGGAAAAGATGAATATGAAATTATTTTACCCTATTTTTGGTTTATTTACACTAATCTCAAACTTGTATTAAGCAATCAGATCATCTTCACTATAAAAAGGAGTCCTAAGCCATAAATTATTTTGCATCTTTAAGACCAAAGCAGAAGTAATTGCACTTTTCTTATTTGCCTTGTTTTGATCAATCAATCCATCAATTTTCCTTAAAATATACAATCTATCAATAAGAACATAAAAATCCCTTAAAAAGCTTGACCTCAAGCAAAGAGCTGAATCACCTGGCAGAAACTCCGGAAAATGAGTGGCATTATATCTACAGTATTTCAATTGCATGTAGAAACTTGCACAGCCATATAATAGCATTATTGCTCAACATAAAAAGAGTACACAGTAATCTAAAACTTGATGAAACCCGTTGTTCTGCGAAGGTCTAGGGATTTTATTAATGTAATTAGGATCTCAATGTAATATATATACCAACTAAAAACTACTGATTATCAAAACCTCATCAGTATAAACATCAAATTCCCAATGGAGCAAACATCCAAGAAGATAATCATTGAAGCACAACGAAACATACATGAATCATATTGCACCAGAAAGTTACGAATGCTAACCAAAAAAACAGGGGCTTCGAAGTCCAGTGATGGAACCAACTGCCCAATCTCTAAGCTCAGTCATAATGCTTTTTCCAAAACCTTCCTCCTGAATTTTCCAGCACAACTTCAACAAAAAAGCCTCCGCAATCACAAAACCGGCAAGGTCAATCATGTTACATTCTTCAACACTCCTCTCAACAATGTTCTCACTCAAGAGTGGGAAAAAAGCACTCATTGATTCTACAGTTATGGCTCCATTATCCGACACCCAAAACTTAGCCAAATCTTCCAATGGCAGTAGCAAATTCTCTAAATTATCGTAATTTCCATCAAATCCATTACAGCAAATACTTACATAGCTAAGTGCAGAATCGATGAGAGCTTTTATCTCTCTTCTTGCTTCCTCTCTCTTTGAACTCAATTCGAAGCCCTTTAAATCAAGCATCAAACCATGCAAGTAGAACACTACAGGTGCAGCTAGAGCTATGCTTTTCATCGAATTGCAAGAGGCCGAGCACGAAACTATGAGTTGGAACAAGCCCTTAACGGCTGAAATTCGGCCGAACGAGTTGGTTTCAGGAGCACGGCAGGAAGCAGCCGATAAAGCCGCATAAATCCATATGCTTTCCATAGGAGGATCAGCTTTCGATTGAACATATTCTCCAAACTCAGGACCAAAATCTCCCAAATTGGAGGAACCAGAACACCTAAGAGACGTTAAAACATCATCAATCGATTTCTTCAGAGCAATTTCGTAGCTTCTGCCAATAAAATGGGAACAATTGCGTGATCTGGAGGCAGAAATCGCCATTGCCATTGCTGTCGGAGCAGCGAAATCCTTAAACCCTAATTGAGAGGTAGTGATTTTCCGGCGAAGCTCCCAAACCCTAATTGATTATTTTCAGCTATTTGGGCCTCTACTTAAGCCCATTACAGTTATTACAAATAAAAAAATAAAGTAAGATTTTAAGATTTAAAAAATAAATACATAAATAAATTTTCGTATTTGTTCTAGTCACTGCTGTTTAACTAATAGAGTCAAGCCGTTCGAAAACTCGGGTTAGTTCGACTCGATTTGGCTCAATTTTAAATAATCGAGCCAAACAGCGTAAACACACTCGCTTAACTAATAAAACTAATCCGAGTATTGTTCGTGAATGTTTGCGAACATTCGTTAAAATAATATATTTATTATAAATATTATATATAATTATAATTGATAATAAATAAATAAATAAAATATCAATTTAAAATAAATAAATAAAATAATTTCAAATTTCATTTTAATTTATATATAAATAAAAAAATTTCAAATTAATAATAATTTTAATTTAATTTTAAATAATCCTAAATAAAATATTATAGTGAATGAATATAATGATATTAAAATTCAAAGTGCTACTCCAGTTGTGGATGGACCAAAAAAATCAAAATCAAATTCAAATCAAGCATAAAAGCAAACCACGGGTTGCCGCTGCCGTCCTCCACGCTCTATTTTATTCACTTTTTCCCACATAAAAAAGAGATCACTGACGACGCTACACTCACCCCAATCGCGTGCCGACGACTGCCCTCTTTGATCACCGGCGCTGCCTGCCCTCCTTGAAAAAAATATATTTTTATTTTAAGTTTGTATTGGATTATATTGGATTAAGTTTGTGGGATTAAATTTATGTTTATGTTGGATTAAATTTGTATATAATCATTTTTGTTTTATTTTTCTTTTATTTAGAAATGATGATTTTTGTTTATTTTAATAAAAAAAATAAAGCAAATGAGCTTAATCGAACTTGTTCGAGCCTTGTCAAGCCAAACATGAATACGAGTTCAAAACAGTAACATTTTTAAACGAGTTGAGCCCAAACACCGTAAATGAGCTCGAAAGCTTAACGAACAAGCCCGAGCCTTGTTCGTTAAGCTTAACGAACGAACACGAAGACTCAAATTAGACTCTGCTCGGCTCGTTAATAACTCTACATTACAGAGTATTTTTTCCAAATAGAGAAAATGAAAACCGCTTACCGTACATGCTGCGGTGCATGGTGGAGCTATCTTCATCGGCGTTGAGGCAAAGGTAAATTTTGGAAATCCTAACTATGTTAGTTATCTAGATTATAGATCGATGTATCCATGTTAGCCTAGTGTAGAGATAATTGGGAGAGAAAACAATGTATTGTATTTCACCTTGAATGAATGAATTACACAGAAAATAAATACGGATACTTTGTACAATTGCTTCCACTACTAACAACCTAACAAACAATCTAACAAACTAACATAACCAAGCTCAAAGTAGAGAAGAGAAAATGGCCTTAAGAGACTAAACTAAAGTACAAAAGAAATTATATAAAACCAATCGCAAATATGAACTTACTATGTTCCTTTGGTAGATTTAATGGATGTCTTCCTTTCTCCATCATCATTTCTTTTAATATCTTGACACGCTCATCTCTTACCAAGAGCAGCTATGTTGAGCTTGGTGCGAAAATCCTTGAACAAAGGTCCTGGAAGCGCTTTGGTAAAGGTGTTAGTGATGGGATGTAATGAGAATTTCATTAATAAATAGATTGGTAAAAAGTTAATTAGAGACTCAATTGAGAGTGAATGTGTGATTTAATTCTAGTGACAAATTTTATTATATTTCTAAATAGTGGTAATAAATTTGTGGATTAATAAATTTTTTGTTATAAAAAACTATGTATAAGTTTAACGAACAATAATAAAAAAAAAATTGACGTAATTTTAAGGGGGACATGGGGAGTATAAGATTAGTTCTGACTTGTTTTAAGATAGCTATTCCTTTCCGATGCTTCTGGTCTTATGTCTTGTCATAAAATGATATAAAACGACATCTATTTTTGCCCAAATTATTACTTCCACGAACAGTATCCCAAGCCGTACTGAATCATTCTGGAAGGAGCTCGATTATGTCAAGAACTTGTTGAAAAACAGACAAGAGCTGAAGGTTGAGGATGCTGGGATTGCTGCTCTATTTGGGCTCGAGAGCTTTGTGTGGTTATGTGCTGGTGAAATTGTGAGGAGGGAATATACATTCACCGGCTATTATCCCTGAAGCCGAATGGTAAAAGTATTGCAGGTGAATTGATTCAGTCACGTTGAGAGAGATGGTTCTAATTGCACATTTCTGTGCTAGGTTTTGTTTTCCCCGAGTGAAAGCCTCTTTTAAGTTTTGAGGTATTTTATCTCCTCATCAAGAAAAATCGTGTATATGGCCTAGTTTCCAAGGTAAAATCTCGATTAAAAATTGGTTGGACCTGCTGCAGGTGAGACGCAATCGGGATCGTCTTCTATCTCCACGTGGCTATCTCTTCCCTTCTTCCCCAAACCTTGCACCTTCGTTGCCGACCTACTACCGGTGGCCTGCCATCTCCATCCTAAGTTGTCTGCCACCATAACAAGGTTGTTCCTTCTCTTCTTTCACGCAAATATTCAAATTTCTTTCCTTAATCTACAAAAACCTCAATAATCTGAGAACGCCATCTGCAACAACAAAAATGTGGACATTTGACGAATCGAGTCTCTCCTTTAGGGAAAATATTGCATAGAGACTCATTTGCGTATGTGGCTTCGGTGGAAATGAACCATCACGATGGATTCCTGACTAGAACAAGATTTGAGAGGATTTTCGGAGAAATTTTCTCTATTCGTACAATAATATAATTTTTTTAAGAAAAATAATGGCGTAAAAAAAGAGCCATTATATAACATATATTTCTCATTCGTCGATCTTCTGCAATCAAACTTGACATGTCATTCTTTCATATAAAGAGCCATTGCTCTTACTCTAAGTAGTTCTATGGTAACTAGTTTACTCCAACTCATTAGGAGGATGTTACGATTCGGACGGAATATTATATTTGTCATTAATTTTTTTTTTAGAGTTATTGTTTATGGCCTTATACACAACCAATTTAAAAATTTTGATACTATTTTATATTTTAAAATTTTATATTAAATATATATTTTTTACAAAATATTATATTAAATATTAATTTTTAGTATTTTTAAATATTATTTATTTATTATTATTATTACTCCCTCTATTTATAACTATGTATTAATTTATTTTTTTAATATTGAATTTTAAATATTAATATTATATATTTAGTATAAATTAAAATAAAAAATAAAAATATATTTATTAGTGTTCTATAATGCAAATGTAACAATATTTGTATAAAATATGATCTCTAGAGCATTCACTTATCTTATGATCCGATTAACATATTATATAAATATAAATATAATGATATTTTTTAATATTAAATATAATAGAGATATTATTACCTTGTTAAATAAAGGATGACCTATTTTATTTACTTATTTATTTGACTAAACGGGTGTGTTTGTTTGGGGGTTTGTATTTTGAGTTGAGATTTGAATAGTAAAAATTTTGAATTTGAATAGTTGTATGATGTGATATAAATATGTGTTGATGTGATGTTTTGAATGTAAAATTGATTTTTAGTATAATATAAAAAATAAAAAATAAGTGTTTGATTTGATGTTTTAGTGGGAGAAAAAATTGGATGAATAGTATAAATTCAATCCATTCCCCCAAACAAACACACCTCTCGCTTGTTCCAAAATTTTGTATTGGGCCTATGATATGAACCCAATAAAATTATGTAATGTGAATGGCCCAATAAATGGCCCATTGGAAAGCTATATATAATATTCTGAAAATCCCAACCCTAAGGATTCCCCGTCGCCGTTAAGTCGTTCGTTCCAGTGGTCGATCGATTGCATCGTGGTTCGAAGAAGTTTAATCAATCATGGGTAAGTTTTCATCTCGATTCTTGTTAAATGATTGTTCAATCTGACTATTTATTGTTAATCTGCTGGAAAAACGTTGCAGGTAAGGTTCATGGATCATTGGCGCGCGCGGGGAAGGTGAGAGGTCAGACGCCGAAGGTCGCGAAGCAGGATAAGAAGAAGAAGCCTCGTGGCCGTGCGCACAAGCGGATGCAATACAATCGACGTTTTGTCACAGCTGGTAAACTCGATTTTCTTTTACTTTTAGTTTCGAGTATGAATTTTTCATTGAAATCGTTATTTATGACAATAACTTCTTCTTTCTTCAATTCAATGGCGGTTGAACAAATTACTTCACGATTACATTAAAGCACAGCTGTGCCTAAAACAGCAGTTAAAGCAGATTTGGATTTCCATTTTTGCCTCAGAACCTTCAGTTGATTATTTTGCTCCATAAAAAAAACACAAAGTGAACACGTTGGGCTAAATCATTGCAGATGTTTTTTTATTTTGAAAATGAATACATGAATTTTTGACTATCAGAGGCTTATAGATTGTTAAGGGTAGGATTTACAAATTGCTCAGCTGAGGTAGTTGAATTACTGCAAATTGCTAGTTAGTAATGGTTTTTTCTGTGTGCAGTTGTTGGCTTTGGGAAGAAGAGAGGGCCGAATTCATCTGAGAAGTAAACCTGAGGAATTGAGAGCTCTTACAGGTGAACTAATTTTTGGGACCGGAATTTATCTATGTTTATTATGCTACTACATAGGTTATCGATTTGAGATTGATGCTGTTTCTTTGAAGCCCTAGACTATTTGAGTACTTTTCCTCGTCATATATCCACTTAAGTTGAACGGATTTGGTCTTTTGTTATTATGAGTTAAGAAAGTCATTTGTTCGAAATAGACTCTGAATATCATACGTTATCCGTCATGTTTTTTTCAAAGGTTGTCTTGCATTCTACGCCGGTGTGATAATTTCTTGTACTAGCTATTTTTGGGATCGGGCCATTTGCTAGCTCGATGATATGCGAATGTTCGAGACAGGAAGTCTTAGCATTCGGGAAATCTTGTCTCTCGGGATCTTGTGTTGACTTATAAAATTTAGTATTGTGGAATGATTATACTCCTTCTGTCCGCAAAGTATGCTTTTTGAGTTGGATATGAGTTTGGAGAAACTAATTTGATATTTTGATTCATTGTGACGAATGTAGCTGTGTTTTGTGAAGCAATGTGGGTATGTTTTGTGAAGCAATGTGGGTATGTTTTGTGAAGTTATACTACGAGTTAACTATGTGAGAGAATTTTGGTTATAAATTGATAGTATATATTTCTATTTTTTATGATTATAAAAGACAGTAACAAAAAGTATACCCTCATAATTTCCTAGTTTTGGATGAAGTATTTTTTGAAAAACAAATAAAAAAGAAAATTAAGTATATATTCGGCGGTCATCGGAAGGAATATATAGAGCTGTTAAACGAATTGAGCCGTTCGTGAACCGGCTCGATTAAAGCTCGTTCGCGAACGTTAACGAGCTGAGCCGAATAACATAAATAGACTCGTTTGGTTAACGAACGAGCTTGAGTTTTATTTGTTAACGTTCGTTTAAATATATTATTATATATACATATAAAATTATAATTTATAAATAAATAAATTATTAATTTAAAATATATAAATAAAATAATTTTAAATTTTCTTTATAATTTATATATAAATTAAAAAAAATAAGATAACGAGCTCTCGAACGAGCTTAATCGAGCCGAACATGAACACGGGCTCAAATAATAAAAATTCTTAACGAGCCGAGCTCGAACATTACGAACAAACTCGAAAGCTTAACGAACGAGCCAAGCTTAACGAACGAGCCCGAGCCTTGTTCACGAACGTTAACGAACGATTAAAATTCCACTCGACTCGGATCGTTAACGGCTTTAAGAATATACGAATTTCAATGTATAAGCAGCATAGTTGTCATTTTGGATAGTCTTAAAATATTAATCTAACCTCGGACACCATTCAGTAGCTATCAATGGCAGCTCCCATTTTGGCCTTCTTCAACAAACGAACAACCTCCAGCATCGTCGGCCTCATCAACGGCTCGTCCGCCGTGCACAGCCTTGCTACCGCCAGCACCGCCACCATCTGCTCCTTCCACGGCCGCAGCCCCGAAAACGATGGCTCCACCACCTCCTCCTCCCGCCCACCCGCCGCCATCCACCTCACCCACCCCACAAGGTTCCCGCCTTCCCCATCCGCCTGCCCGACCGGAGCTCGCCCCGTCACCAGCTCCAACATCACCACCCCAAAGCTATACACATCTCCCTTCGTAGTCGCCACCATCGCCTGCCCGTACTCCGGCGGTATGTATCCGAAAGTCCCCGCCAACATCGTCGACACGTGGCTCTCATATGCACTTATAATCCGCGCGAGCCCGAAGTCCGACACCCGTGGCTCGAACATTTTATCCAACAATATGTTGCTTGATTTTATGTCGCGGTGGATGATGTGCGGGATGAACCCGTGGTGCAAGAACGCGAGCCCCCGGGCCGACCCCAAGCAAATTTTGAACCGCGTAGGCCAATCGAGCGTCACCAATACGTCGTCCCGGTGCCTCAGCCAAAAGTCGAGGCTACCGTTCTCCATGTACTCGTAGATCAAGAACCGTTCGTCTCTATAAACGCAATATCCGAGCAACGGCGCTAAGTTCCGGTGCTTCACCTTTCCAATCGTCTCCATCTCGGCTGTGAATTCGCGCTCGCCGTGCAATTGGCCTCTATTGAGCCTCTTGACAGCAACGGTCCTTCGATCCGATAGGAATGCTCGGTACACGGTGCCGAAACCACCGTCGCCGATTATGTAGCCGGGGCTGAAATTCTCGGTTGCGGTTAAGATTTCGTTGGGATTGATTCTCAACAACGCGCGCTCGAATGTTGCGATGTTGATGCTTGGGGGCTCTTTCGCTTTCTTCAAAACTCCGTCACTCGGAGTGTACTCTGGCGATGCAAAAAGTTTATCCTTAGCGCCGTCGAGCAGTAGCATATCACGTTTTTGAATCTTTTGTTTCAAAAACACGACAAGACACGCTACGATGACGATACTGGCTCCAGTAGCAATGCTAACTATCAAAGCGCGATTTCGAATCGTGCCGGCAGGATAATTCCACGGCCTAAGAGATGTACCGTGTTTGCAAAGCTTACCGTCGTCGCAAGACGATGGAAACTGCCCTAAGAAGTTGTTTCCGGAGAAATTCGAATATACGAGCCCTTGCAACAAGCAAATCGAACATGGAAACAAACTTCCGAAGTCATTTCCCGACAGATCAAGATACGTTAGCGCCGGGAGGTCAGACAACGATACCGGTAAACTCCCGGAGAACTTGTTATTGTGAAGGTCCAAAGTAGAAAGCGATACAAGGTCGGAGATCGAGCGATCAAGCGCGCCGGAGATCCGGTTATTGCTAGCGTTCAACACTAAAAGAGGGCTACTTTTGAACCCGACAACGAAAGATCCCGACAGCGCATTCGAACTCACGTCCAGGTATGTCAAACTCTTGACGCGAAACAACGATCGCGGCACCGGCCCCATTAACTCATTGAATGAAAGATCGATCTTTGCCAAAGTCGACGAAAATTTGTCCGGAATTGAGCCCATTAGTCGATTGTGTGCGAGAACGAGGCCTTGAAGATTTGCCATCGAAAATAATGACGCAACAATGGAACCCGATAGCGCATTGTACGACAAGTCGAGTAGCGTCAGATTAGAAAGTAGAGATATCTCCTCAGGAATAGTCCCGTCGAGCTTGTTCCCTTGCAATAATATTTCTTGCACGACATTGCAGTAGCTAATCGTCGCCGGAATTGGGCCTTCCAACTCGTTGTATGAGAGATCGAGCATGCCGTAATGCTGCACAAACTCGGAGTCCGGCAAAGGCGCCATCCGAAAACCAGAGCAAATCTCCGACGGAATTGGACCGGTAATTAGGTTGTTCGAAAGAACCAAATTGTCGAGCGAATTCAACTTCGATATCGATCCCGGAATTCGACCCGTCAACCGGTTCTCGCCCAAGTCCAACGACACGAGGCTCGTGCAGTCGAAGAGCTCGAGAGGGATATAGCTGGTAAGCTTGTTGCCGCGCAACGATAGATTCGTTAGATTCCGAAGTTTCCCGATTGTCGCCGGGATTCTTCCTTCGAACATATTGTTATTTATTTGCAATCTAGCGAGCGTCGAAAGATTTCCAATCGCATCGGGCAATTGGCCGTCGAACATATTGTCGTTCAACGAGATTCCCATTAAAGTTTTCGACTCCCATAGACGATCAGGAATTCTGCCGGAGAACTTGTTGTTCGACACCTCCAAATTCACGAGACGAAGATCGCTGAGATAGCTCGGCAGCTCGCCGGAGAGATTGTTTTCTGACAAGACCAAACTAGTAAGGTTGTGGCAATCCTCGAATACTCCGTGCAATCCTCCCGAAAAGTTGTTGTGTGACAAGAGCAGAGTCGATAAGGACTTGGCGTTGCATATACCGGGAGGCAGATCGCCGGAAAGCTGGTTGTCGCCAATGTCGAAAGTGGACAATGCCGGTAGATTAAGCGGCGGCAATTTTCCGGCAAAATGGTTTTGCGAAAAGCCGATGGACTTCACTCGTTTCCAATTCGAAATCCAGGCAGGGATCGAGCCTGACAAGCGATTCGAGCTTAGGAGAATCGTGTTGATCGAGTTTAATCCTGCGAGGCTGTCTGGCAATGGACCTGTTAACGAATTGTAGCACAAATCGAGTAGCCGGAGATTCGTGCAGTTACCAAGCTCCGGCGGTATTCCTCCATTGATGCCGGAGCTTGAAGCTACAAAATAAGCTAGATTCACCATTCTTCCCATGCTTGAAGGTAATTCTCCGGAAAATTCGTTCTCTGCGAGATTTAAATTCGATAAGTTCGTCAACATCGTGATCTCTTCTGGTATTTTTCCGGTGAGTCGGCAGTTTTGGAGATCGAGTATTTCCAGATCCTTCAAATTGCCGATGGTTGATGGTATGGCGCCGGTGAATGGGTTCCAAGCGAGATCGAGAATTTTGATAGCAGTTAGGTTTCCGATTTCGGCGAAAGTTCCTCTGCTGAATTTGTTGTAGCTAGCGGAAATGTACATAAGATTCGACAGATTTCCGATCGCCGCCGGAAAACCGCCGGAGAAGAAGTTGTCGTGGAGGTCAAGCGATTCGATTTTCTGCAACTTTCCGATCGCTTCCGGAAGACTTCCGTAGAACGAATTTGAACAGATTGAAAGCTCTTTTATCTCCGTCAGATTTCCGATCGCCGCCGGCAGGAATCCTGATAGGTTGTTGTGATCGAGGATAAGCTGTCTAAGCCGCCGGAGATTTCCGATCGCCGGATTCAGGCTCCCCGATAAGCGGTTATAGCTCAGGTCGACAACTTCCAACTCCTTCAATTCCCAAAGCGCCGGAATTATTTCTCCGGCGAATGCGCAGCGGCTGAGATTGAGAACTCTAAGCGATTTAAATTCTCCGATCACCGTCGGGAACGGGAGGCTCCGCCGCGAATCCGAGCACGGAAAAACTATCTCCGTCACGGCGAAGCCGTTGCATTTAATTCCTTTCAAATTACAAGGATCAGCCTGTGGATCAAATTGATATACGACATCTCTAAGAGCTTCAATTGATCTCCGGTCGTCGTCGGCAGCGAGCGGCGGGTGAACGGAACAGACAGCGGCGATGGCGAGGAGAAGAAGGTACGGCCAGTTGAATATTGGAAACGCCATTTTTGAAATCTGAGGAGCTTCAGATGCAAAAGGAAAGACACAGTAAGCGGAGTATTGCTGATTTTAATGGCGGTGGTGTGGAAAGCGTGAAGGGGGAGGGAGAAGCTGCGATCGACGGTTGATATGTTTCGGAATCTGAAGGCCATGATGAGGATGGACGGCGGAGATGCTTCCCGGAATTCCTCTGCTTTACTGCTGGAAGCAGACATGGAAGGTTTGTATTTTGCTTGGAGGGGAAGAAGGCGGTTTCTTATAGATCTGGAGTTCTAGTCCTGGACTTTTTGTGTTTTCCTTGGTCCGTAACGAACTTAGACTTGGATTTGTTCGTATTATTTTTAGTATCTATTGAAGTATTGTATGATTATTGCTATGGATTATGCTGTATTATCATCTTCAAACATACTATACAATATTTTCTATCTTAATATTTAAATTAATTATATTTTATTATATTATATCATTCAAATAAAAAAATTAAATATACATTTTTCTTTCAGTCATCACATAATTTGCAATTATTCTCCACAATTTTGTATTAATTCGGATGATGGCAATTACTTTGTAGGGTGCTAATTTAAATTAATTCAATCGCGGTCAAATTAGATTGTAAAGTTATTATTTACTGGTCAGCTTTGACTTTTGAATAAAGCTAGAACGAAATATATATATATAAAGGTCCCTAAATATATATAAATACTATTTTTTTTTATAATAAAATATTTTTTAACATTTTTAAGTAAAAAATAGTATTAAAACTTTTGTGGGTTTTTTTATTAAATTTGGTATTATAATAATGTTTAATAAAATATTTTATAAAAAAAAATATATATTTTTTAAAAAACGTAAAATTCATATTGTAAAATATAAAAAAAATTAATTAAAGATAATTTGAACTCAAACACCACTAAACTACGGGAAATCGAAGGCTAGGCGCGGACAACTACTGCTAAGAGAGTGTAGGTCATCTCATAGCCTTGCCCTTTTAACCTCTGTCAATTGCTTTGAATTTCTTTTGAATCGATTTATTATTTATAAAAATATATTTTTAATTATAGTTATTTATTATTTCTAAAATATATTACTTGTCCCGCTCTAAGGGTCTTATTTATTTTTTATCGTATTGATTTTTGAATATTAATTATTATATCAAAACGTAGTACATATTTACAAAAAAATATTACAAAAATACTTGGATAAACTGTTTTTTTTAGTCCCGTAACTAAACCCCCTTATCATTTTAGTCTCATAAGTGGAGCATGTCGCAAACTAGTCCCATAAGTGAAGAATTTTTGCTGTTTTAGTCCTCCGGCGCCGGAGACGCCCGCGTGGCTCGCCGGAGGTGACGTGTCCGCCAGGTCAACGACACCGGGCGGGCACGTGGATTTTTTTATTTTTTATTTTTATTTTTCTAATTTTTTAAAAACTTATTTTTAATTTTGTTGGGACTGGGTCAACTCAAATCAAAGACTCGCTCATCCGCAGGTCACGAGGGCGAGCCCACCACTACAACCAATGCCACCCAGTCCACTTCATCATCTAACCAGGCTCTGATACACTGTTGGGACTGGGTCAACTCAACACTAGTATGATACCAATGCCACCCAGTCCACTTCATCATCTAACCAGGCTCTGATACACTGTTGGGACTGGGTCAACTCAACACTAGTATGATATTGTCCGCTTTGGACTGAGCCTGCACGGATTTGTTTTTGGATATCCTCCAAAAGGACTCATACTAGTGGAGTTCACTTGGAACTTACAAGGTGTCGAATTTTCTTCGCAACTTCCGATGTGGGATTTGGGTTTGCACCAACAAATTTATTTGTAATTTTATTTGTATTTTTTTATTTTTTTTATTGGTCCAATAAAAAAAATATTTAAAAATATTTAAAAAAATGAAAAAAAATAATAATAAATCCACGTGTCCGCCAGGTGTCGCTGAACTGGCGGGATACCTGGCGGACACGTCACCTCCGGCGAGCCACGCGGGCGTCCCCGGCGCCGGAGGACTAAATAACGAAATTTTTTTCACTTATGGGACTAGTTTGCGACAGCTCCACTTACGGGACTAAAATGATAAGGGGGTCCAGTTACGGTACTAAAAAAACAGTTTATCCAAAATACTTTCATTAGGGTCTTGTAATACTAATATAATGACATTTTTACAAAAAATTATACAAATATAAAAAAAAATTTTATGTTAAGTACAATGATGCAAAACGTATTTTTTAGAGAGGGATGGAGGGAATATTTTTTATAAAATTCTTTTTAAACCATTTTTTTTAATTTCTTTTTTCAAAAAATATATTTTTCAAAATACTTTTTAAAATACCATTCGTATTATTATGAAAAAAATTCATATATTACACTTTTAAACTAATATAATCAATTCATATCAAAATCCTCAAAATTAAACCAAATTTACAAAATCTAAAGGAACATATATATTCAAATTCAAACTCAATATCAACGGACTCTTTCAAAAGAAATCCACAACATCTTTTTGTATTTACACATATCAACTAAATTATACATATATAACATAAATATATAACGAATCTATTTTTAGTAAGAGTAATTAAGTAAATTTGTATTTTTTAATTTATTCTGATATAGACTAATATGTTTTTGCCTATTCTAGTAGTTATATATGCTAGTCTTTTAGTAATATTTTGCTAATATACCTTTTTAGTATTTTATATAAGGATTTACTAATCGATTTAGTAGATATTACTTAATAATTTATTTAATTTTGATAATTTAATTTTTTAGAAATTTAAATAAAATAATCATTTGGGCCGAAGTTAACGTATTTAACATATTTTTTTTCTTTGTTTACATATTATTTATATTATAATGAACATATTTTACTACACAATAAACACATTGTACAATTAGTATATTATTACATTTAAAAAAATATATTTATAGTTTAACACATTTATATTTAGAGATTCAACACTTATATTATAATGACCATATTTTACCACACGGTAAACACATTGCAAAACTAACATATTGATAGCACATTTGTAATTTAGCACATATTTATATTTATATAGCAAATATTTACATTATAATGAGCATATTTTACCACACAGCAAGCACATTGTAAAATTAACCTATTATTATATTTAAAATTGCATATTTATATTTTAGCATATACTTATATTTAAAGAGCAAACGCCTACATTATACTGCACACATATCAGCACACAGAAAGCACATTGTAATATTAACATATTATTATATTTAAAAATAGCACAATTTTATTTTAGTACATACTTATATTTAAATAGCAAACACTTGATTTGTAAATTGGGAAAAAAAGTGTAAATTTACAATCATACATTTGTTATTAATTTCAACCCTTGAATTAATTATTAATCCAACGGATTAGGGCTAATCAGCACCATATTAATTAATCTTAATCAACATACTAGCGGAAGCGTAATCAGATTGTTTTTAAAATTTTGGCTCTATTCATGATTATTTTATCAGTGTTTAGTATAACAAGATTCATTATCTTTAAGCGATTACATCTAATATAAAATAATTATAAAAAAAATTAATAATTAGGTAGTACTTTGGAATAATAAAATTTGAAATTTATTAATAATTTATCTATACAAATACAATTCAAATTTATTTTAAAATATCATATTAATCTACATAATTTTCAATTATTTAATTTTCTTTAATTTTTTATATTAAATTTCTATATTTAAATTTCTCTATAATTTTATGTTCAATTTTTCAAATATTAGTAATCCCACAAATTTGTATAATCTTAATATTTTAAAATTATTATAAAAATTATAACATTATCATAATTTATACACGGTGTGTTTTTTTTTTTTTGTGAGCTTAGAAAAAACTAATTTGAGTTTGAATTATATTTGAATTTTAAGATGATTTTGAATTTTTATATATATTTAAGTTTGTATGTTTTGTGAGGTAATAGAGTAAAACGCAAAAAAAAAAAAAAAAAAAAAAAGGAGAAAGAAAGAAAGAAATCCCGAACGAAAACTCACTTATTGAATCAAACAAACTTGCCTATTAAAATAGTCATAAATCATGGAACAAATAACTAAAGATTAAGAAACACTAAAAAGATTTATTAAGTATAAAAGAATCACATAAAACTAGGGATATTATTTAATAATACAACTACTAATTATTAACTTAGTCATAACATCTCTTCGTGTAAACTGAATGCTGAAAGCTTTTAGTTTTTGCTGCTTGCTGCACACATTCCTAGTAAAGCTCGAAATTTCAAAGAGTCATCTACCTTGAGAGGCTCTGTCATCACTTCAGTTAGTTGTTGCACAATGTTGCAATGAGCAAGTTTCACTACCAGTTTGAATGAGCTCAGGAGAAAATGAAAGTGCACATCAATGTGCTTGCTACGATCATGCATTACTGGATTTTTTGATAATTTGATAGCTGAGCTACTATCACAAAAAATGACAATGGTTTCATCATGTTTTCCATCCAGCTTCCTCAAGACTCTCTTCAACCATATAGCTTGACATACGAATAAGGTCGCAACAATGAATTCAGTTTCAGTAGTTGACAAAATTACCATAAACTATTTTTAGATGACCAAGATACGACTCAAGAGCATAGGGAAAAATATATATATATCCTGACGTACTTCTTTGATCATCCAAATCTACAACATAATCACTATCCTTGTAGGCATCAAGTTCATTATTTCCTCCATGCTTGTAAAAATTACTGAGCTCAAAAGTTCTTTTAAGATACCTGAAAACTCTTTTTTCCAATTGTAGATGCAATTCTATTGAATTTTCCACGTACCGGATGAGAAGACGTAAAACAAACACTATATCTGGCCGAGTTTATGTAATATACATTAGACATGCCACAATTCGTTGGAAATAAGTTTTTATCGACTCTAACTCCTCTTTGTCTTTTGTTGGCTTGAAACTAGGGATAATGAGATTTTGAATTTAATTGCTTTGATCTATGTTGAATCTCTTTAAAACTTCCATGACATATATTTTTTTTGGAAAATAAAAATTCCATCTGGCCTTTGTATGACTTCAAGTCCTAGAAAATATCTAATTTTGCCAAGATTAGTCATGTTGAACTATTTCTTCAAGGACTTCTTGATATTTTTGAACATTATTTCATCAATTCCAGTAAATAAAATATCATCAACATAAACACTTACAATAAATAATCTGTCACCATTGTTTTCTTTGATGAAGAGGGTATGCTCATAATCATATTTTTCGAACTCTTGTCTTACGAAATAGGCTTCTATACAGTTGTTCCATGCACGAGGAGCTTGTTTAAGCCTTTAAAGCGCATTTTTTTGTTAACTTGTACACCATT